AGCAAGTGCCTTCTAATTAATTCTGCACAATCTTTCTATTCTTTAACAATCTTCAACAACATAACTAGAAATTTAGCAGTAGCACACGTACCAATTTGATCCTCCTTTCCTTTTATAAAATCAACAAAGCCACACTCCAACAAAAAGAAATATGAATTAATATCCTAACTTGAAGATCCAGAACAATGTACCAAACCATAGCAAACGGCATCATCCTCTTCTAAGTACAGTCCATCAAGTTTCCTGAAAATCACGTGGAACCCACAAACTAAGCATCCAACGCCGAACCCGATGACCAAATTCTCCACCATGCCGCACACCCACACTGCCAAGACTGAGATGCTGACCAAATAGAAGAGCACCCACTGATCACTTATGCTATGGCCCCACAGCACCAAAGGGTCTTCTCTGAACAAGTAGAGGAGGATCCAGAGCATAATGATTATGGAGAGGAGAGCGAGAGAGAACGAGGCGGTGAAGAGGGATAGTGCGCAAGCGGCGGCCATGACAAAGGAGTAGTTGGCAAGGAAATAGCGGAGATTGGAGTGGACGCAGGTAGGGAAGGAATCAGGCTGGGAGTAGGAGATGGAGATGGAGATGGAGGTGATTCCAGAAAGGGGCGAAAAACAGTAAGGGCAGTATTAAGAGAAATGACGTCGTTTTGATTTGGGACTCCAATTTTTTTTTTGAGGTAGGACTGACGCGCACTTTTCCATGTATATATATATATATATATATCAGAAACTAAATTACAGCTTCCTATGACAGAGCTTTATATATATATAAAGGAAAAGTGTTTCGCAACTTGTTTTCTTAAATTTTTTTAAAAGACATGTGTAAAATTTTATTTTTTAATTAATAGTTTTAAAAATTAATTATTGAATTAAAAATTTTATTCATACAAATTATATATAGTAATTTTTAAATTATTTTAATAAGTCAAACCACTTCATTAATCATAAAAAATTTAACACCATTAAATATATATTAGTAAATAAAATTTCTTTAATTAAAAAGTTATAAATATTAAATTAACATAAAAATTAGTATATATGATTTACATGAATATAATTTTCAATCTAACAATTAATTTTTAAAAATATTAATTAAAATATAAGTTTTAAAACAAGTTCTCTAAAAAAGGTTTTTAGGAGGACAACTTCTCTACATTATTCTCTATATATACCGTACATAATGCAAATATGAGATTGAGATATATGTTTATCTTTCCTCTCTAGAATTCCATCCTAATTATACATTTACTAAGGCAAAAGAGTGGTGTTTTTGAGTTGCATTACGATCTATAGTTTGTGCAAGGTTAATTGCAGAGTGTTTTTGGGCTGCTGTATCTTATATAAGTTGACACGCTTATAAATTGTCTTGGTGGAATAGTTTTCCAAGGTGACACGAATCATCTTACAAGAGAGTGACTTTTCTAGTACCTCAGCCTATCTTCTATCATTGAAGAAACATCGCACTTTTCAAGTTAGTTTTGACACGCAATTTTACTGATTTTTATTGTGTTTTGCCTTCAAGTTCCAGTGGCAGTTATAAATGATATCATGACTGTTTTATTTCTGTTGTAGAAGTTTCCCCCTTTTTATCTTTAATTTCTACGTGATGGCTAGAGGTAATATGTAGCTTTATGGTCCACTTCGTCGTGATCTTCTATAATCACTTGAAATTGCATTGTTGCTTGTTTTCATGGCTCATCCAAAAAATGAAAATAATAATAATAATAATAATAATAACAACAATAATAATAATAATAATAACAACAACAATAATAAAAGAGACAATGCCAAGAGTTTCAGGAATTTCACCAGCCACTAGACTTTTCAGTTTTGTTAAAATTCAGAAAT